CACGCTTCTCCTCTCCAGCTATAAGAAACTGTCCTTAATTACAGTCTCCCAACAACCTTTCCATTTTGTTAAGTTCTGTAATATAGCATGCACTAAGTATCTTGGCAGAATGACATTAAATCTTGCAAATCGTTTCACGTATATATCCCTCTTACTTTACTGTCTGCTTCTGAATACCTGAGACTTTGTCTTATAATTCTTTGAATTTCCCTCAATATCTACCACAAATCTCTTGCACACAATAGGTCAACAGATGTTCAATAAAGAATAAACCTCCTTTATGGGCAAATAACTTTTTTTATCAGCTCCGTTATCCCTTGAGATCAGCTGCTTGAACTGTTTGCCTCTCTTCACAGGTCATTAATAATGTGTAGCACAAACTAGTTTTACACCATCTAAAACTCAATAGAGCAAAAGACACAACTTCATTTCATCTCCAAACCTTACCACCCCAGAGAAAAACAAAACAATCTGCAGGATATCCAAAACTTTCTTCACATTCTCATCTCAGATTCTATTTTCCAGATATTAACTGTTTTTCATTCTTAAAACTGATAGAAGCGTTTCTTTTCTTTTCTTTTCCCTTCTATTTCTAAAACTAAAATGTCTACATTTTTTCTCTGAGTTCCTTGGCATTTCCACAAAATAAAAACGTTCTTCCAGAAAAATCCTTCCTTTCCTTTAAGATATAGAAGCATCTTCCAAAGTGTTGCCTATTTTCAAAGTCAGTGCCTCCACAATGGTTACCTTCTCTCTCCCCTTCCTATCCATCTCTCACTTGCCCTTCTCAAGCCTCATTGGGTAGAATATTTTTTTTCCAACCTTTCCATATGTCTAAGACAATGATATTTTTCCAACCTTTCCATATGTCTAAGACATCCCCTCCGATTCAAATTGCTTCTTGATTTTGTAAGTCTCCATTATGTCTTCAGAATTACCTTTGCTCCACACCTTTCTTTCCATCTCACCAACGCCTCTTTTACTCTTCAAACTTTTCTAAGCCAAGACACTTGTGAATGATCTCTCAGGCACCTCAGCTAGGCTACCCTGCACTACTCACACCCATTTCCCCGATTGGTTCTTAAATAAAGATGTTTCTGAAATTAATAAGGAGTACATAGTGGCCATCTGTATAAAGAACACTATAACAATACTTTAAGGCCATCCAATGGGTTGCGCTACTAATATACCATAGCGTATAAAAGGATTTACAGTTTTAGTAGTATTTCAAATGCCAAAAGTTTTTTTAAAAAATAGTCCCATTTCAGTTTTATGACATAATTCTTTAGACACATTTCCAGAGCATATTACTTGAAAATAAAATAATCAGTAAGTGATGTCTAAAGAATGTAGTTTTATCTTAAGGTCTCCTAATTCCATAGGGTAATCAACAAAAGCACTCAACAAACAACCATAGTCCTTTTCTTTCGTATAAGTGCCAGCTGTATTTGCTTTAAGCATCAGACTCTGGCAACACAGCAGGCTTCGACTCCTCTGAATTGAGAAAAGGCTTTATGAGTCATGTGTTTTTTCTAGAGATTCTGAGCTCTCAGAATTATTAACTACGGGGAGAGAGTAAAAGTCAAAATTCATTCAATAAATTCCACTGTGCTCAGATTGAGAGAACAGGTGCCTGAACACACATCTGAAGAAAAACTTAGAGGATGCTTTCCAACTCGGCTGCATGCCTTTGACTAAGCAGTCCTGGGGATCTCACATTACGACCACAGAATAACGCAGGCAGCACCGGATGGACCAGAAAACCTCTGAAGTTCATCATTCATACAGAGCAAACTGCCTTAAAACTTCGAATTTCCTTCTGCAGTGGTAATTTACAGAGATACAGAACTGCCATCTAGTGACCAAGAAGAAAAAAGCAAGGTGCTTTACATGAAAAATTAAACCGTTTAAATAAAGTATTAAAGTCAGTAAAATTAACACAATTTATCACATCAAAGTTCCAGCAAAACTTCAAAATGGATACACTTTTATGCCTCTATAATGTATCTTGACATTTGATTCTTCTAAATGATATAGTTTAAATACAATAGAATAACTCTTCAACTTCTCATTCCCTCCATATGAAGATTTTGGTATGAGATGGTACTAAATAGCCATAGGTGATTACTTATGCAAAAGTATAATTTTTATCATAGTAAATGTATAAAATCTAAAGAAGAACAAAATCATGGCACTTGTAGCAACGTGGATGCAGCTGAAGGCCATCATTCTAAGCAAATTATCACAGAAACAGAAAACTGAATACCACATGTTCTCACTCATAAGTGGATACTAAATGCTGGGCACACACAGGCACAAGGATGGGAGCAACAGGCACTCGGCACTGTTAAAGGAAGGAAGAAAGAAGGACAGGAGGGGGAATAAACGATGCAAAACCACCCGTTGGGTACCATGTTACCACGGCAGGGAGGGGAGGGGGCAGGCTCATCAGAAGCCCAAACCTCACCTTCACGCACTATACCTATGTGACAACTTCTCACCTGCGCACCATGATTCTAAAATGAATTTTAAAAAGTCACGTAGCTGTATCAAATCAAACAGACCTGAACTTGAATCTTGGCTGTACTCTTTATCAAGTTTATGATCATTGATGGGTTACTTTTAACTTCTATAATCATATCAGATAAATGTGGATTATAATAGTTACTTTAAAGGACTCTTGTAAGGATTACACAAGGTAATACAGTAAAATAATAGGTAGGCAGTAGGTTGATAATTAATTCTGTTTTTCTGTCCTCTCTATGACCAGTTACCTTAGGCTCTTATGAAACACATCTGTATCATCTAAGAAAAGAACAAGGCCATAAAATAAACTTATGACAAAGAATCAATGATTCCAAAAGTAAGTGAATGTCATTGTTGAATGCTTAACCTCAATTGCTTCTAAATATTGTTACCTCTCAATTAATTTATTGCATTTTCTGGCTTCTAGACACTTTGTTGTCAACAAGGAAAGAAGATGTGACATTTAGTCAATCTATTTTATCCTTGAGTATTAAAACTGTAACATCAAGTGTTTTAAAATCATTCAATCCATTAGGTTTTCTGCTTATTGCAATATATCTGTACCATGGTTCGTAGCTCAAGAAAACAGAAGATCACTGTAATATTATACACATGAATATATATCTTGATATATAAGAGTTGCAATCTTAATATTTAGAGTAATATACATAGTTCATCATTGTGGATATTATAGGATGCTCCTTTTCTGGGTTCTCTTTGGCATTTTCATATACTATTACAAATCATTCATATATGCACATAAGAATTCAGAAAAACATAATATATCCTTTTAGATCACAATTAAGCCACGCCTTTAAAAAAAAAAAAAAAAGCAAAAATGTGAAGACGTTTGAGGGTACTATTTTTCTTAATTATTGCTCATCTTATTGTTTCTTTTTACCTCTTCTTATCTTCATCTTATTCACTATTGGCTAATCATTGCAGTTAATTAAATAACCATCAGCTGAGTCCACCATGCCTCTCCAAGTGCCCCAGATTGATGTAGGTATCTGCTGTGACAAAGATGAGCTGGAGAAACATGCTTTTTAAAAAAGATACTATTCTTAAAAGAAACTTAAATTTACAGAAATAGCCAATCTAACTGCATTTTTTAAAAGATCCATGGACTATAAAATGAAGTTCCTGACCAGTGTTATGCCCCTATTTCTCCTCCAGGGGGTGCACGACCTTCATGTATGATGCATGGCTTCTTTTTCAAAAGGAAATTATGCTTTGAAGAGTTCTCAAAGATCATCAATTCTTTAATTTTACAGAGAACACTATGCTTCAGGTAATCTAAGCTTGTTGTCACACACAAACCAGAAACAAACCTGAACATACAACCCACACTTGCATACTCTCATGGTCTCCTAATCCAGGAGAGGCCATGGATCAATACTGGTCTGTGTTAGGAGATGAGCTGCAGGTCGGTGAGCAGACAAAGCTTTATCTGTATTTACAGCCATTCTCCGCTGTTCACATTACCATCTGAGCTCCTCATTCTGTCAGATCAGCGGCAGCATTAGATTCTCATAGGAGCCCGACCTAACTGTGTGAATGGTGCATTTGAGGGATCTAGGTTGCACACTCCTTATGACAACCTTATGTCTGATGATCTGAGGTGGAGTTGCCGTGGTGAGGCTAGCACTAGGGAGCAGCTGCAAATACAGAGTAACATTAGCAGCGAGGTTTGCCTGCACACCCCCCCAACTCCCCCAAAACCCCATGAGAAAATTGACTTCCATGAAACGTCCTTGATGCCAAAAAAGTTGGGGACTGCTGTCCTAAACAACATGCAACAGAACAGAACACATCTTCCTACCATTGATTTCTAATACTGTTATTGTCAAAAGCAACATAGTTGTGCAAATGTATAAATAAATTTAACAAATAGTTATATATACAAAAGAGCAACTGCTAATCAATTACCATTCCATAGAAATATTTCCTTTCTTGAAGTTTTTTTCTTAAATAAGAAGTCCAATTTAGTACAAGAAAAAAAAGACATTTGCTTAAGTAACAGAAATTAAACAGACGCTAACTTGATGTTTCGTCCAACAAAGCAACTTAAGAATCTTATTTGATCTTAGAAAAGCTCTGATAGACTTTTGTTGTTGTTGTTAAGATTATATTCATGGAACTCTTCAACCAGGCACATCTCGGCAGAGTTCTCCCTGGAGTGGCCACCATTTCCTGCTAGAGCCAGCTGTTGTTGGGGCCAACTCTTTTTTGGCTGGATATACATAAAGCAGCTTCTGAGAAGATTGCACTCAGTTCCACTTCAAGGCTAATTTTCCTTGCAAAATATACATGAGAGAAAACATCCACTTCTGCCTGACTAGATTCCCCCCCAGACTTAGGGAAAAAAGGGCAGCCTAGCCAGCCAGACAGATGGGAAGATAAATCACAGTCTGTCACAATTTTATGACAAATAAGAGAGATGGGAATTCGACATCCTAATGAGATCATCTTACCTGCTGGACATCATCTGAACTTTTATTTGGAGATTCCACGACAGCAATTTGAGATTCTGGATTGGAAAGGAAGCAGGCAGTCAATATCTTAAAGAACACGTTTCTTATTTCCTCAGTCAGAAAATAAAACTTTCACCAAAATATACCTTTAACCATAAGTAACAAAAATGTCCAGTCTTTTTTCCAGTTATATTACTGGATTATTAGGATACGACTATTTCAGTATACATAATACATAAAATGATAAACACTCATGTCACTAGTTATTTTTAAATATTGGAATAATCTTTTGCCCTTGTTTACATATCAATTATAATTATTTTTCTCAATTGCTCGTTTCTATGATGTGCCAGGAAGCCCCTACTAAGACTTTCACTTCGTATATAATTCATGTAGGTAAAGACTGTACCATGCAAAAAGTCAAAAAGGATGGGATCGCAAAAGCCTTATCTCACTGTTGTCAAAATGCCTTTTGATTTCAATGAGAGGTAATGAACACTGTCACCACGAGACACTGAGCAATAAGAGATTCTGAAGGGATTTAGCTCCTTTCGTCTTTGTGTCATTTGAGACTCTACAAGACTACAGATTCATCATGCTGGAAAGCCTAAGGGATAACCAAGTTCAGGAATTTTTTTTTTTTTTTTTTTGTAGCTAGAGGGCAGCTTTTCCTAAGTGCAGCTTGCATGCAAATTTAAAACATAATAAAAATAAAGCCAGGTGGGGTGGCTCATGTCTATAATCCCAGCACTTTGGGAGGTGGAGCAGAGAGTGAAGGAAAAGATGCAAAGAGAAAGGAGAGAGAGAGTGAAAGAGAGGAAGGGAAGGGAAGGGAAGGGAAGGGAAGGGAAGGGAAGGGAAGGGAAGGGAAGGGAAGGGAAGGGAAGGGAAGGGGCTTCAGGAATCCCCAGTGCTCCATGGATCACAGCCTGAAAACCATTCATCTCATTCATTCTCCACATTTCAGAGATAAGAAATCCAAAGCCCATAAAGCAAGAGGTTGGTGGCAAGGTGAAAGCTAGCATTCATGTCTCCTGACTGTCACATTGCTCCTCCTGACTGGCATACAGACCAGACCCCAGATGGACACGAGATATAGCAGTCACTCTTCGTGGACATTCAGACATTCCCAATTTACCAGCATCATGGTTGATATATGTGACAATTCTACAGAAAATAAAGGCATTTAGTATATAAATGGTTGCACATACCGTTAAGCTATATTAAAAGCTTCCATTTCACTCATGTGAGAGTCTCTGTCTCGACTTGGGCCTAGGGGCCTGGTTTCATGGACCCTCACTCCCTAACCTCTCTGACCCCCTCTGCTGTCCCCACTTGCCACTAGGCTCCAGCTCCCCTGGCAGGCTTGCTGTTCTCTAACACACCAATCATGTTTCTTCCAAAGGGCCTTCAAAGCCACAACGGCTGTCCTCTGCCCCACCATTCTCACTCTTTTTCCTGATATCTGCACACCCCCTTCCTCAGCCCCTTCTCACAGGACTTTGCTCCAGCTTCCCAGGGCACTCTAACTTAGCAACCCCACTGACTCCCCAGCACTCACCATGCCCGGCCCTTACTTTCTTCTGAATCACCACATCATATATTCCATAATTCACTTACTTGCCTACTTACCTCTCTTACTCCACTAGAACACAAGCTCCATGAAAGCTAGGATTTTTGTCAATTGATCCCCTCCCTTGTAGTCCCAATATCTAGATGGTGTCTGTAACATACATAGTAGATGCTTAAAATATCTGGTGAGTAAGTGTTAGAATGAATGAAAGAATAAATAAAAGATCAGACCACGAAAGTGGAGGCCACTATGAAAAGTGGGATATCTCAGGTAGGGAACGAGGGGGTCAAAATTTTATAAGAGGCAATGTAGATGCCGCCTTGCCTTTAGCTAATTACTAAACCTCAGTTATGAGTGATCTTTCCAAACAAAATCTTTGAAAATAGCTTGATGCAATCACTTACCAACAGATGTCATGATGGCAACAGAATATAAAATAAATGGCCTTCAGATATAATTAATTTCTCAAATACTGCATTTCGTTATTTGAGAAATTAATCAAATACTGATTAATCAGTTAATCAAAAACGGATTCTTCTTTCTTAGTCTGACAAATCTCTGCTCTGAACATCACACCAGAGTTAGCCAAATGTGAATAAAGATCCTTAAAAACAAAGCTAGTTAACAGTCAACATTGAAGCAATCCGAACTCTGGAACATTCCCTATTTTTTGTTGCTTTTTGCCATACTCTCCTATAAATAGACTCAAGAGAGTCCTGACTTTGTACAAATGGAGGAAAATTTCTTATTTTTTCTATTTGATAGTGCAGTAAGAGCCCAAAGGAACTCCTGGTAGTGCACTAAAAGTTCTTTATGCTAGAAATGCACAAAATGCTTCATAGCTGTTTTTCTGTAATCCTTGACCTAGTGAAATGCCGAAAAAAGCAAACTTCTGGGCTCCGGGAATAAATAAGAATAAGTGCAATTTATCAGACCAGTGTACTTAGAAAACAAGCTTACGAGAAAGAAGTATCAGTCAAGCATTTGAATACCTATACCCAAATGTTGTTTCCTTTTGTTGAATTCAAGGGCTACCTGAACTGAATTCATTCTTCCAACCCCATCCTTTTCACTGTACTTTTTATTTCTTTGAATCCATGTGGCAACACATCTAAGAGAAATTTATATGTCAAAATGTTCTCTTCAAAATCTTAAGCTGGAACATAGGAGCTCTAGAGGGTCAAGATTTTTAAGATAAAAGAGATGAATAAAAAACTCTACTGGAAAAATAAAGGGAAAATTAATTGGGACCACGAATAGAAGAAAGAAAAATACATATTAAAGGAAAAAATACAGAATAAAAGAGAGAAAACAGAAGAAGGAAGACATAAGAAGAAAATAAAAGGAAGCATGAAAAATGGCACACACACAAAAGGTCATTGTGCTAGGAACAAATCATAAGTAAAATGACTTCTGAGTAACAGCTGAAGACTAGAGTCTCTGGGCAGATACATCTGAGAAATCAGCCTAGTTCCAACATTCACAGAGTTCCCTAAATGAAAGTGATCACTCATACAAACTTCCAATGCACTTGCTACTCATCCTCTGGGGATGTGGGGCACTTTCAGGAATTGCCTTAAACCCAGCTCTGAAACTAGCTAACAGTCTCCATTAAATATTCATCAGCTAGAATGGCTATTTTTAGAGTCACCCAGTGACAGCACTCTCAAGGGTACATTTAAAACTGTCACCTCCCTCACTCATCCCTAAAAGTCAGAAACTGTAACGTTTCTTTAAAAAAAAAAAATTATGAAGGAAAAAAGGTGAAAAGACATTGAAAAAACGTTACATATTCCATTTTTTTCAAAGTTACCTCACAAAATTCTGAGCACAATATAAAATTCTGGTCTCCTTACAATTCCAAATGTGTTTCAGAAGTGATCTTTTTATCATAACAAAATGAACCTTTTACTCATAAAACAAAACATACTTGGATGAGTTTTATATTTGTAGAGAGAGGACAATAAGACAATGAGCAGGATATGCTTCTTAGCTAAGAATGAAATAAATTAAATCATCCCCTTAAATTATACATAATACACATTTTAAAATGAATTAAGAACTTGTAGTAATTTTCTATAAAATTAAAAAAAATACAGTTATAGAAAATTACTACAAGTTCTTTAATGTTATATGCCAATTGGAATCAGATTCAGTTAATGTAACTGAAAGATAATTCATTAAACTTCATCTAAACAGCATGACTTCTGATTGGCTGCCTAATGAATGATAGATGTTTTTAATCCTAATATACCATGTCCTTCCACAAACGAAGATGAGGTTAAACACAAATTTTTCCACATAAGATCAATCCTATGTTCTATTTATTTGATAATTTAGTAGTATAATCTCTCCTCATTGCCAACAAAATATATCCACACCAAGGTTTTAGCTAGCTAAGGGGGGAAATAGAGGCTATACATATTTAATACATGTTAAAACATGTATTTAATATATATTAAATATATATATATAATATATATCCATATGTTGAAAATGAAGAATTATCTGTAAGAGACACAATCTATTTTAGTGCATTTTATCTCTTTATTAAGCGAAAAACTCAGAGAAATAGAACACTATCAACTCTCTTTTGACCCTTTATAGAATTTCTGCATTACCTCAACTGAACATATGTTAAAGCATTTGGACAAAATATAGAAATGAGAGGCCAGATGTGGTGGCTCAAGCCTGTAATCCCAGCACTTTGGGAGGCCAGTGCAGGAGGATTGCTTGAGGCCAGGAGTTTGACACCAGCCTAGGCAACATAGCAAGACCCTGTTCTCTACAAAATAATAATTTTTTAAAAGCCAGGCATGGTGGTCCATGCCTGTAGTTCCAGCTACTCAGGACTGAGGTGGGAGGATAGTTTGAACTCAGGAGTTCGAGGTTGCAGTGAGTTATGATTGTGCCACCACTGCACTCTAGCCTGGGCAACAGAGCAAGACCCTGTCTCAAAAAGACAAAACAAAACAACAACAGAAACCAGAAATAAACAGAAATAAGTTAATGATACTGTATTTGCATTACATTACACAATCTCTTTTCTTAGGAACCATCAGAGATATTTCTATCTCTAAAGCTTCTCTGGGCAATTATTATATTCAATCTCATGGACACTGAGTATGATATAGAATCATTCAGAGTACCTTTTCAGTTTTGAACCTGAAGGATACATTTCCAATTATCTCTAAAAACTCCAGCTCCTTATAATATACATTTCACTATGCCAGCTTACTTATCCCAGCTTCATTTTATTGTTCCATCCTAAATTCCTCTTAGGTTGATTTATATCCGTTGGTGATCCTTTTGTGTACCTTAGGAATTTACAAGCTGCTCAATCTTCTTTGGAACAAAGGTGGGTTACAATTAATTCAACCAGTACGTAACCACACTTTTTAAGATTTCTACAATAAAAAGTTTCTTCCATGTTTCTACGAGGTCTTCTTTCATATGTTTTCTCCTAGGATTTTCTGTGCCCGGATTGCCTTTCTAAAATCAGTCCTGTGTTTGCTCTCTTGGCCATTCATGTTTTCTTTTTCTTTTTCTTTTGAGTTGAAGTCTCACTCTGTTGCCCAGACTGGAGTGCAGTGGCAGGCTCCCGGCCATGGCAACCTTGTCCTGCTGGGCTCAGGCGATTCTTCCACCTCAGCCTTCCAAGTAGCTGAAACTACAGACACCTGCTACCATGCCTGGTTAATTTTTTGATTTATTGTAGAGATGAGGTCTTGCCAAGTCACCCAGGCTGGTCTCAAGTCCATGGGCTCTCACCTCAGTCTCCCAAATTGCTGGGATTATAGGCATGAGCCACGGCACCCAGCCCATTCACATGTTCAAAGAAAGGTAAGAATTCAGCTTTCCATCAATGAAACAACAATGACCAAGTCCCTATTTACATCTATACACTCTGCTTCTACTCTTCACGATTTTGAAAACTCGAGTGAATTATTTCTGATTTGGGGTAGATCTATTGAACGACATTTGAAACTTAGTATTGAGCCCACAAAATAGTCCATGAACGGTTTTAGAAAACATATAAAATTCTCAATCTTGCATTCATGTGATGAATAGATATTTATGGAGATTTTCTCCAACAAAATATCTTCGTTCATTCATTCACATATTTAAGTATTCACTATGTGCCAAAGATCTTGAAATGCTGAAAGTCTATGGCGAAGACATGTACATAAAGTTTTCAAATGACAGAGATGTGAATAAGATGTCATGAGACTCCAGAAAAGAGGACAACCATGGATGGGTGGGTAGGTACATTTCTAAGTAAAGGGAAATGAGAGAAGATGCAGAGAAAATAAGATAAATGGAAAGTTTTTCTTCCTGGCAATGTTTCTGCCACTATCTTTTGGAGCATATTACTTCCTAACTATGTTCCCAACCATCCTGTATCCTTCCAGAGGGGTTCTATAGACTTTAAAATTTCAGTTTAACATCTTAGGGCCATTTGCAGAGATAATGCTAACAGCGTAGGGAGCCAGGATGGAGAAAAAGGATTCCCAGGAGTCTGTAACCCTCCTGCAACTCACTGGTAAGAAGAAGCACCAAGACCTTGGCCTCAGTACTTCAAATTCGGATAAAGAAGGGTCAGTTCCTTCACCAGTATATAAAGGTGGAAAAAAATACTTTTTACAGAAGAGATCACTGAAAAATTACAGAGAAATACATGAGAAAGGCAGAAGAGGGAATGCCACAAATCTGAATTAACTGGGCATGTAGATTGGCAACCAATTTTAAGAAGAGTTGGAAGAAACAACAACAAATCAAGACAAGTTCTCACTTTTCTAAGCCAGACATGAAAGTCTGTCTTCTTCAAAAAGAGAGAACATCTTTGAACTCTTTTACTTTAAATTAAAATTGAAAGGAGCTACATGTTGCATATGTCACTACATGATAATGTGTAGCCATCACTTAAACACACTGCAGATAGTTTATTGCTATTTTTTATTTTATTATTATTACTTTTTGAATCAGGGTTTCACTTTATCACCCACACTGAAGTGCAGTGGCATGATCACAGCTCACTGCAGCCTCGACTTCCTGGACTCAGGTAATCCTTAAGCCTCAACCTCCTGAGTAGCTGGGACTACAGGTACATGCCACCATGCCTGGCTAATTTGTTTATATTTTGTAGAGACGAGGTTACCTAGGCTGGTCTCAAACTCCCAGGCTCTATCAAGCCTCCTATGTCAGCCTCCACAAGTGCTGGGATTACAGGTGTAAGCCATTGCACCTGGCTGTGTTTATTACTATTAGTACTTGTATTATCAAAGGCTGCAATTGATATAAAACACAAGACTCTAGGCAAGGTTTTCCCCATAATATTGATATTCTCACTGTTATAATTATAATTGACTGACTAGAAAAGAGAGTGTGGTGGGTTCCCTGGGAATAAAACTGTCCACAGAAGTCTTTCCAAATGAATGTCATGGAGTCACAGCAGGAAAAGTTTAGAAAGCACCATTACATCACTATGCACACAAGAATGCTCTGGGACTGTTGGAGCTGATAGCAAACAACTGGAGAAAGACAAGTCACTAAGTTAAATTGCTTTCTACCTACCTCTATCAGCCTCTTCAAGGATGCATATTTTAAAAGGAGACAAGTTATTGCATTAAAAATTACTTGCTCAGGCACTCTGCAAGTTATATCATATCATGAAAAAAAAAACCAACAATAACTAGGTAGCAAATTTCTGGCATCAATTCTACAACTCTAACTACTATCTTTTACCAAACTAAAATTCGGAAGATCACTTTCAATTACTTTTCAATCAAGTGCCCTTCCAGTATATACAACCAGTAACATAACAGAGCTTATAACATTTTTTGCAGTGCCCTAAAATTTTAGAATAAAATATAAACATCTCAGTTAGAAAAGTTAAAAAAGAACAACAGGGAAGAAAATAAAATGAAAAGACCACCCTAATCAATGAGGTAAACACAGAATATGAACAATTGTAAAAACGGCTCTCCACAAAATTCGTTCATTTACTATATCTACACCCGAGTATTTTATACCAATAAATAATGTTTAACATAAACACATAGAGTCACGCATATAATGAGGATCAATACTTTCAGTCGTGAGCTTTTCCTTTTAAAACTAGATGTACTTTTACTTGCTTGCTTTGTTTTCAGGGGCTGTCATGTTAGAGCCCCCTCATCTCTGAAGGTCTTTGCTTTAAGGAACTCTGCCGTGGCCTTTGATCAACTGTTCTCTGGGTTGTGATAAACACAAGAGTCATGCCTGGAACAACGTTTCCCACATCCTATCTCTCATTTGTTGTCCAGGGAGTAGAGCCCACCTAGTGAATACTAAGTAGTGTTTCAAAGGCACTGGGCATTAAAAAAGGGAGACGCAAGGTCAAGTGCAAGCCCCCATTCAGTGCAGTCTTAGAAAAAGAAAAGCGTAAATACATCCCTCCAGAGACTGGAATAAAAACAGGAGGTTAGGCTCCCTTTGCAGACCTTCAGGCAGGGGCCTGGGAAAAAAACCTTTTACACTGTAGTCCATTATTGGCTTTAAAGGGAACTCATGAGGAAGATAAGAACATGAAATAATGATGATAATAATAATAGTAAATACATCGGGTCAGGCACTGCTTTCTGCTTTCTGATACTTTGCATAAACTCATGTAATCCTCAAAAGAGCCTCATGCAGTAGATGCTATGCTCATCACCATTTTACAGATGAGGAAACTGAGTACAGTAGTTAGGAAATTTGTCTAAGATGACAAAGCTTGTAAGTGGCAGAGCCCAAGTTCCGTGTTCTTATGCTATGCTCTTATACAATAAATCCAAATTAAGTTTCTCATGGCTATCTTCCTCTCTATGTGCCAGTGAGGGGGAAAAAAAAAATCAAAACTCTTTTTTTTTTTTTTGAGTTGGAGTCTCACTGTCGCCCAGACTGGAGTGCAGTGGACGCTCCCAGCCTCCGCAGCCTCGACCTGCTGGGCTCCGACGATCCTTCCGCCTCAGCCTTCCAAGTAGCTGGAACGACAGGCGCACGCTACCACGCCCGGCTAATTTTTTTAAAAATTTATTGTAGCGATGAGGTCTCGCCTGCCTAGGCGGGTCTCAAACACTCTACCATTTAGGAAAAACTGATGTGTGAGAGATCTGTGAATAGCAATGATGGCCTTCTCATTACTTGTCACTCATGCATCAGAAGTCAATATTTACTCCTGCTCAGTCCACCGAAAGGAAGTTGGGAATTCATTACATCAAAATGAAGACAAAGCACAGGATAAAACAACCAGATTTCATAAAGCATTTTCATATGAATATGGTTCTCAATTCCACAAGAGAGATATAAGTGTTTTTCTAGAATCAAGCCTGGAGATCATCATCCTACTGAACTCCTCTGAATAAAGCTGAGGCTAATCTCATGCTATCTTCCTAGTCAATAACACAAAACAAGACAATAACAGAAACAGAAAGGCAAAAGAGGTCAGACATGGTGGCTCACACCCGCAATCCCAGCAGTTTGGGAGGCCGAGGCAGAAAGATTGCTTGAGCCTAGGAGTTCAAGACCAGCCTGGGCAACAAAGCCAGACCTTGTCTCTACAAAAGAAATTTTAAAAGTAGTCAGATGTGGTGGTTCACACCTATAATCCCAGTTACTTGGGAGGCTGAGGTAGAAGGATCGCATGAACCCGGGAAGTTGAGGCTGCTATAACCTTGACTCAAAAAAAAAAAAAGGAAGGAAGGAAGGAAGGAAGGAAGGAAGGAAGGAAGGAAGGAAGGAAGGAAGGAAGGAAGGAAGGAAAGAAAGAAAGAAAGAAAGAAAGAAAGAAAGAAAGAAAGAAAGAAAGAAAGGGATTAAGAAAAGTACATACACAAACAAAAGATTAGCCCCAGCTTTAGTCAGAGGAGTTCAGTAGAGTAAGATAGGAGATTCAGAAGACAGAGGACACTTGGCCATCACCCTTTCAAAGGCAATAGACAAAAAATGGCTTTCCTAGCTCGAACAGGGTATGGGGCTTCAACCTCTGGTAGTGACTTCAGCTGGACACCTAAAGGCAGTGGTCCTCAAATTTTAGTCTACATAGTAATTACCGGAGAATTCCAGTGCACTGCTCTCTAAGATTCTAACTCAGCAGCCTTGAACATGGGGCATAAGAATCTTCAACGTAACAAACCTCCCAGTGATTTTAACTGGGTTATCTACAGAATATACCCTAAAAATACTTACGAGAAAAATGCAGATTCACTACCCAGTAAGCACTGCAAAGAGACGTTATGTCACACATTTTTAGAATACTCGCGGTGCCAGTGTCCTACCTGTTTCAGCATCCTTGGGCCTGTGTTCTTCATCTGGAAGTTTAGATGGTGGCCACACAGATGGGACTCGCCTGGGAAACTGTCCTTCCAAGTAATCCAGTGAGTGTGTAGGCTGACTAACTGCAGCCCAGGTATACAGTTGATCTTGCTATATTTAAAAATAAAATAAAATATTTAAATGCTATTAATTCAATTATGAAAAATAAGTCTTGGCTGACATATTGAAAATTCATTTCTACATAAATTACATACACATGCATACATATATAAAACTGTGAAACAGCATTTTATACTAACGTACACAGTCATTTTATTCTAATAACAATACTTGTCTCAGCTTCTTTTCTATAGTCTCTTTCTTTGCAGGGAAAGATGCTACATAGACCTGCAGAGAATTATAAAATCAGATGATCCAAGCACTCAGTCAGAGAACCCCCTGAACTAGCATGTTTAATTTGAAGACGTCCCTTTAAAAATTGTTTATACGTTGTAAGAACATCAAAGGACAGGCTATCCTTGGGCACCACAGGATAGTAATAGCTTCATGTGCCTTCAAAAACAAAAGGCCCAGGAAACCAACTTATTTGGGGTCCAGGTTGGAAACAGTTTGGGAGAGAGACCACGAAAAAGTAATGAACCTGACAAGAATAAAAGAACTGGACAGGGATCTTCAGGCCAAGAAAGACCTTGCCAGCTACTGACCAACAGAATCTGGACAGAATGAAAAGGCCACTTGTAACTATACCTAGTGCCAGGAGACAAAGCGAGTCTCACAAAAGAGGCCACTAAGAGATCTCTAAACTCCTTGAAAAACTGCTCATTAGGATTGCAGAATACCAACGTGTTTAACAATTTTAGGATGTAGATGCTTAATTATATGCATGCCCTACATTCTCTTTGTGACATTTTCCTTACTTAGGTATATTTCTGTAGCACCTTTGATCAACGTCATCAATTAAAACAAAAAGAAGAACAGTACAGTAGACATGAAAAACAAAAAAAATACTGTATTCACTGAATTGAGACTATAAAATAAAAGACTTGACTAATAGACAGATGTTGCTATTTCCGTAATCTATTTAATAAATTAAGAAATGTATAAGATAGGCCAGGCATGGCAGCTCACGCCTATAATCCCAGCACTTTGGGAGTCTGAGGTAGGAGGACTGTTTGTGCCCAGAAGTTCAAGACCAGCCTAGGCAACACAACAAGACCTTGTATCTACAAAAAAGTCAAAATATGAGCTGATCATGGTGGCACGTGTCTGAATTCCCAGCTACACAGAAGGCTGAAGCTGAAGGATCCCTATGAGGTCTAGGATGTGATGAGCCGTGATTGTGCCACTGCTTTCCAGCCTGGATGAAAGAATGAGACCCCAACTCAAAAAAAGAAAACAGAAAAAAAGAAATAAAATAGTCTGTAGCATGAACAGCAAGATACAATATACAGGTCAGTTCATTTAAGCTTTACATTTAGGGGCAGTCATTGGCTCTGAGAATTCAGATTACTGGGTTCAGTTAGGATCTTATCAAAAAGGACCATATTTCAGACCTGGCTAAGCATTTCAGCCTTCATATATCTTTCAGCGATTCCATCTTGATCAATACCAGAGTCTTCACTATTTAGCATAATGAATATCAAAAATAGCTTTTTCATTGATGAAGCTAATAGCTTATATAACTGACCTAATGAAAGTTAGGCATGATTCTCATTGGAGAATCTAAAGGCATTCAGTGTAAGTGGATTGGCTACAACACAAAAGAACACCCAATACTTGACAAAGACAAGACTCAGGTAAAGGATGATGTCAAGGCGTGATACTCTAACATTGCTACATCCAACCACCAGTATAGGAGAATGACTCCTTGCCTGTTGCCAACAATTAGTACAGAATTATGCTTCCTTTATGCCTATATTTCACAAATCTTTAATGCCAGGTATGCTCAAGTACCTACAAGGGTAACAATTTGCTCTCTCAGAAGAGCTGTGTGGACTCTTGCGCTTACTAATGTTGTAGTTTTGTTTTTGTTTGTTTTGCTTGTTTGTTTTTTGGAAGGGTCTCACTCTGTTGCCCAGGCTGGAATGCAGTGGCACATTTGTGGCTCACTACAGCCTCAACCTCCTAGAGTCAAGTGATCCTCCCATCTCAGCCTCCTGAATAGCTGTGCTACCACGCCTGGCTAAATTACTATTATTATTATTTTTGGTAGAGAAAAGATCTCACTATGTTGCCCAGGCTGGTCTCCAACTCCTGGGCTCAAGCGATCCTCTTACCTTGGCTTCCCAAAGTGTTGAAATATAGGTATGAGCCACCAAGTCCAACAGATGTTGTATGTTTAATAAACATCTGTGTGTTTGGCAACATTTCCTTTGAGATTTGCTTTCCTTATAACCCAGTAAATCCTTACATCAGATGCAAAAATTCAAAATAGATCAAAGTTCTAAACATAAGACCTAAACTATAAAACTCTTAGAGGAAAACATAGGGAAAAAGCTCCATGATACTGATTTTGGCAACATGTTCTTGACTGTGACAACAAAAGCACAAGCAACAAAAGTAAACATCAATAAGTTGGCCTACATCAAAATTAAAAACATCTGTGCATCAAAGAACACAATCAACAGAATGAAAAAGTAACCTACATAAGGGGAGAAAATATATTTGCAAATAATATCTAATAAGGATTTAATATCCTGAATTATAAAGAACTCCTACACAAGTTTATGATCAGCCTGGGCAATATAATAAGACCTTGTCTCCATGAAAATATCAAAAAATAAGCCAGGCATGGTGGCCCACACCTGTAGTCTCAGCTACTTGGGAGGCTGAGGCAGGAGGATTGTTTGAGCCCAAGAGTTTGAGGCTGTGGTGAGCCATGATTGTGCCACTGCATTCCATCCTGGGTGACAGAGTAAGATCCCAACTCAAAAGATTAAAAAAAAAAAAAACTCTTACAAGACAACAACAAAAACACAAATAACCTGATTTTATAATGGGCAAAGAACTTGAATAGTCATTGTTCCAAAGAAGATAAACAAATAGCCAAAAAGTACATCACTAATCATTACAGAAATGCAACTTAAAACTACAGTGATATGACTCACATCCATAGGATGGCTACTATAAAAAAGAAAATAAAAGAAAATGAGTGCTGGCGGGGATATGTAGAAATCAGAACTTTTGTGTACCATATGTAATAATACAGCATGGTACAGCTGCTATGGGAAACATATGGCAGTTTCAAAAACTTAAAAATAGAATTGTCATATGATTCAGCAATTGCACTTCTAGGTAAATAACTCAGCAGAATTGAAAACATGATCTCAAAGAGATATTTGTACATCCATGGTCTTAGCAGCACTATTCACAAGAGTCAAAAGGTAGAAGCAACCCAAGTGCCCATCCATGAATGAATGGATAAAATGGGATATTATTTAGTCTTAAAAAGAAGGAAATTCTGGCACATGCTGTAACAGGATGAACCTGGAGGACACTAAATAAATTAAATCAGTCATTCACAAAAAGACTAATACTGTGTGATTCCACCTATATGAGATTCCAAGAGCAGCAAAATTCATAGACAGAAAGTAGAATGGTAGCTAAGGGGAGGAGGAAGAATGGGGAGTTGTTACAATTTAACAGGTACAGTATTTCAGTTTTACAAGAAAATTGGAGGCTGTTTGCACAACAGTGTGAATAGTCTTAACTATACACTTAAAATAGTCAAGATGGCAAATTTATGTTATGTGTATTTTGTCACAATTGAAACATTTAAAATAATTTTTTTAAAAAACAGTAAATTAGCCGGGCTCGGTGGCTCAGCCTGTAATCCCGCACCTTTGGGAGGCTGAGGTGAGTGGATTGACTGAGCCCACGGGTTCGAGACCCGCCTGGGCAGCGAGACCTCATCTCTACAATAAATAAAAAAAAAAATCAGCCGGGCGTGGTAGCACATGCCTGTAATTCCGGCTACTCGGAAGGCTGAGGCGGAAGGATCATCAGAGCCCAGCAGGCGAGGCTGCGGTGGCCGGGAGTGGCCACTGCACTCCAGTCTGGGCGACCGAGTGAGACTCCAACTCAAAAAAAAAAAACAGTAAATTAGACTGAGTGTGGTGGCTCACACCTATGATCCCAGCACTTTGGGAGGCCGAGGCAGGAGGATTGCTTGAGTCCAGGAGTTTGAGACCCGGTGGGGCAACATAGCCAAACCTTGTCCCCACAAAAAAAATCAAAAAATTAGCTGGGCATAGTGGCACATGCCTGTCATCCCAGCTACTTAGGAGGCTGAGGCAGAAGGTTTGCCTGAGCCCAGGATGTCGAGGCTGCGTTGAGCTGTGGTCATATCCTTGCACTCCAGCCTGGATGACAGATTGCGACACCAATTCAAACAAAACAAACAAAATAGCAAATGGCAAAGTTGATGTGGAGTAGCTAAGTCTCACCTATTCAAGGTTTGCACGTGATTAAACTGATTTATGTCAGCTCTTAACAGGTGACATAAGTATTGCCATGGTTCAAGAAAAGCACTGAGATGTATCTCCCTCTCCACCCTCCCTCACCCTCCAGCTAGTGGTGATGATATCCATTTTAGTTACATTCAGAAATTTAGCTACTCCTCACAGCTCCAGAAAATCTCCCCCAGAAACCTATTTTAAACCTTTGCAGTTTAACATTTTCCAGAATAGCAGGATCAAATGGACGTGGCCTCAACAGCATGATTCTACAAAAGATACACAGAATCTCAGCCTTGGTTCCTCAGGTGTAAAATGGGATATATGTAACATGCTTAGTACACTGCTTGGCCCACCAGCTCCTCTAGCTCTTGATAGCGTTAAGAGACTGCATAAAGGCCACTTAATGCCTACCGAATTAACAAATTTGTCAGATGAAAAGAATTAAAAGCGGTGGCTGGTCAATATGGGCAAAGGCTATAGCTGGTAAGCTCATTTTCTTCATTTGCTTAGCAAGGTACTAAAAGGATACTTTGTGGGTGCCATATGGAAAAAAAAGGTATCAAGTTATCTGTTCTATGTAAACCTCTTGGTAATGTAACAGAGCCCCTCATTTTAAAATGCATTTTAAAAGTTTTTATTTCCTTCTCTCTCTTCCTTTCCTTTCTTCTCCACAGATATTCCTTTGCACTGTGTTCACCTGTCTAATTATGCATGCTTAGGAGTTCCCGGGCCTAATTTTGAAGCAAATGGTAGTGGGATTCTCCTCCACTTGGAGATTACTTCAAAGCTGCAGTTAATCTACAACTCCGAAATAGTGCCAGCCTGGGCATCAGATGAGGCAATAACTCAAGACAGTCATTGGAACAAGCCATGTAGATCAGCATCCATTGTCACTATTGCAGCTCCAGTTTCCCTTGTTAAACCTCTACAGTTGAAATGGTTTGAAGTATGAGCCTAGTCATTTCCCATCTTCCAGCTTTTAGATAAAATCACTTTCCTTCCACTACATCTTGTTCATTTCACCCTGCAAGCAACAAGCAGCAGACTTGCTAGCAGTAACAGTAATTCATTATAAATATAAAGAATAAAGCATGGAGTAGATAAAACTCCTAGTATATATTCATTGCTCTGCCCGGGGTAAATCTCCTAACTTTGCAGAGCCTCAATGTTCTCATTGGTAAATCAGGAAAAGTACCTGCTGCCCTTGTCTTTGTTATAGAGACTGCATGAGGCAAGAGTAAATGATACGTGGAGTGATAGAAACTACACAGTGATAGTTGAATGCAACATGCCATGAATACTACTTGTTTAGATTTGTATCTGTTTTTTAAATGTATTACTATTATTTTTTGAGTCAGAGTCTCACTCTGTCACCCAAGCTGGAGTGTGAGTACAGTGGTAAAATCACAGCTCACTACAACCTCAACCTCCAGGGCTCAAGGGATCCTTCCACCTCAGCCTTCCAAGCAGCTGGGACTACAGGTGTACATCACCACATCAGCGTAATTTTTTGATTTTTGTAGAGACAGGGTCATGCTATGTTTCCCAGGCTACTCTCAAACTCCTGGGCTCAAGCAATCCTGTCGCCTTGGTCTCCCAAAATGCAAGGGTCACACGTGTGAGCCACCACGCCCAGACAGTTTATTTATGTTTAATTAGAATAGTTCACACATTTTTTTCCTTAAAACGTGTTTTGGGGTATGTGTGTGTGCAATGCCATGGCCAGCCAAGCCCGCCCATCCTGCTATATATGCTTGCAGTCAGTGGGCCAGCCAGTAGGCAGCGGAGGTCACCATGGCTCTGAGGAATGACCTCTGGCCTCTGGTACTGAAGCTGTCGGCTGAGGCCAGAGCCCCCAGCCTTGCAGCAGTGTGTTCCAGGTCAAAGACTTCTAAGATTCTAGTTGGACACACTGGACTGGACAACATAGGGAATCCAATGGCAAAAAAATCTCATGAAACATGGTTTCTTATATCTGCTTATTATTCATGATGTGTTTCCTGATGCATGTAAATAATGTCAAAATGTGGGTGAACAGGTTGTATCTTCCCCAGCAGATGCAGCTGAAAAGGTGACAGAATGATGACAATGCTACCCACCAGTAAGAATGCAATAGAAGCTTATTCTGGAGCAAATGGCATTCTAAAAAAAGTGAAGGAAGGCTTATTATTAGTAGATGCCAGTACTATTGATCCTGCAATTTCAAAAGAATGGGCCAAAGAAACTGAGGAAATGAGAGCAGTTTTCACGGACACCCCTGTTTCTGGTGATGTAGGAGCTGCTGGGTCTGGGAACCTTACGTTGATGGAAGGAGGAATTGAAGATGAATTTGCTGCTGCCCAAGGGTTGCTGGGTGTATGGGTTCCAGTGTGGTGTATTGTTGAGACTGGGTAGGCTGCAAAGATCTGCAAAAACATGCTGTTAACTATTAGTATGACCGGAACCACTGAAGCTATGAGTCTTGGAATCAGTTTAGAGTTTGCCAAAACTATTGGCTAATATCCTAAATATGAGTTCAGGACGGTGTTAGTCAAGTGACACTTATAATCTTGAACCCAGAGTGATGGATAGCATTCCCTCATCTAATAATTATCAGGGTGGATTTGGAACAAAACTCGTAGGTAAGGATCTAGGATTGGCACAGGACTCTGCTACCAGCACAAAGAGCCCAAACTTTCTTGGCAACCTGACCCATCAGACCTACTGGATGACGTGTGCACAGGGTTACTCAAAGAAAGACTTCTTTCCTGTGTTCCAGTTTCTATGAGAATAGAACTTCTGAGTGTGCCCATTGACCAAGGACACCGTTGGGAACCAAACGCTGTCTTGGAGCCTCCTAGCTCACTCCCCAAGTAAATGGAATTATTCAAAGACCATCTGTCTGCTTTTGATTGTCTAGGTGACAGTAATCCCTAGGATTTTTTCACCCATTTTTAGGTGCTTATTCTTTTTGTCTTTATAGCAAACGTATATTACCTGAAATTTTTTTTCTGCAAGCCACTAATGTTCTCTCTGCTAACTAGTTGAACTGACCTTTTCAAAACTTTGATCTCTGAACATCCTCAATGAAATCATCGACTACTTCAATCAGGATATTATTTATTCTTTTTACAAATGAAACCACATGTTTTGTCAATGGGAGGAGACCCATCTTAGAGGAAGGAAAAGGAATTGGTGTGAGAAGAGGAGTTAGATGTGTCCCTCAGAAGTTTGTCCTGTAAACCAAATGGTTACTGTATCACTGGGGTTACTGGTTTATTTCTGCAGAAAGTTGATAAAGCAGGATAAAGCTGCCTGTTCAAATTTGGACTCAGTTATAGTATGTTCGCATATTCCTCTATAACTCCCAATACTCAGCAGACTTGTCTTTATATTTTTTGCTTCCTTATACATTCATATAACATGTTTTTTTACTTCAAAAGATTGACATCTTTAGACCTACTTCAGAGTCAATGATGATATTTGCTTTAGATAATTATTAAATCATTCTAAATATAGTCATATAATTTTGAAATCAAATAAATTTATATGCTGATAATTTAAAAAATGTTTCTGAAACCAAAATTATTATCCTATATACACTTCAACACTTCTACAAAACCAGCACTAAATCTTTATGTGTTTTATGTCTGATGAGAAGTAGTTGTGAAAACTGAGTTTTCTAGGCATTTGTGCTGACTGTCACTAGTTTTACCATCAATTAACAAATGCCTGCCGGGCTCGGTGGCTCAGCCTGTAATCTCGCGTTTTGGGAGGCTGAGGTGAGTGGATTGCCTGAGCCCGCAGGTTCGAGACCCGCCTGGGCAACTTGGCGAGACCTCATCTCTACAATAAATCAAAAAAGTTATCTGGGTGTGGCAGAACGCGCCTGTAGTTCCAGCTACTTGGAAGGCTGAGGCGGAAGGATCACCGGAGCCCAGCAGGTTGAGGCTGCGGTGGCCAGGAGCGGCCACTGCACTCCAGTCTGGGTGACAGAGTGAGACTCCAACTCAAAAAAAAAAAAAAAAAATTGCCCTGTAGTGTTTCCTCAACCATCCATGAATGTCTTTCTTTGTGTTTTTTGTTTGTTTATTTAACATCTCAGGAGCATATTCGTTATTTTCCCCAAACAAAATATAGCAGTTTCTTACTACCAGTTACCATATCTGTATTCCTTTGTTTCCCCAAGGATGCTATTCTGTTTATATAATAGATACACAGTGTTCAAGAACTACAAGGGTCAGGATCAATAAGAATTGTTTTTTAACAAATCAAGTCAAAATTTTATCTCTGAGTTAAAACAGGAATGGGTCTATTTGGCTTTTGTTAAACTGAATTATTTCTTCCTATTAAACAAAAATGCTAACTTTCTACCATGGGCATATGAGAAGATCTGAAATCATTAGCATAAAAGTGGTACAAATAGACCACAGACCCACTATCTTAAAGGGAAAAAAGTTACTTTTAGCAGGTATTTCCTCATCTTTTGACTGGGTTATAAATAATAATTCCTCCAAATAATTCAGAGCTATAAACTACAAATAATTTATCATAACAGGTTCATTGGAAAATAACTATGCTCTGGCCTGGAGCAGTGGCTCATGCCTGTAATCTCCGCACTCTGGGAGATGGAAGCAAGAGGACTCCTTGAGTCTAGGGATTTGAGACCAGCCTGGACAACTTGGCGAGACCTCGTCTCTACAATAAATTCAAAAAATTAGCCAGGTGTGGTGGTGCACACCTGTACTGTAGTTCCACCTATTTGGAAGGCTGAGGTGTAAGGATCACTTGAGCCCAGCAAGTCGTGGCTATGGTGGCCATGAATGTGCCACTACACTCCAGCCTGGGTGACAGAGTAAGACTCCAACTCAAAAAACAATTAAAAAAAAAAGGAAAATAACAATGCTCAAAGTTAGGCATTTTAAGGGTGCTTCGCTGAGATTTTTACAGCTAAAATGAGGGTTTGGCTGCTACCTTAAACTATTTCAGTTAACATTTTTAGTAATGCTAAGTGCAAGCAAATTTCATTGTCCATTGGTCTGTATATTAATGCAGAATCTAATTTACTCTCTGTGAGAAATTGTTGCCATTCTCATCCTGTAAGTAGAGACAGGATGCCCACCAATATAAGAATAAATCTTAGTTTGGGTTTTTCACTTCATAAGAAGCTATCAGCACTGCCCCTGGTCTATCAAGACCAATGGACCCATATTTAAGTGGCAAAATATGGTCACTATATCCCAGACATTCCAGGAAATACAATTTCCCAATAGATATCAAAGTTTGCATTAAGAGGGAAAAATGTAGCCAGACTCGGTGGCTCAGCCTGTAATCCCGCGCCTTTGGGAAGCTGAAGGGAGTAGATTGACTGAGCCCACAGGTTCGAGACCAGCCTGGGCAGTGAGACCTCATCTCTACTATAAATCTAAAAATCAGCCGGGCGTGGTAGTGCACGCCTATAGTTCTGGCTACTTGGAAGGCTGAGGTGGAAGATCGCCGGAGACCAGCAGGTTGAGGCTGCGGTGGCCGGGAGCGGCCACTGCATTCCAGTCTGGGCGACAGAGTGAGACGGCAACTCAAAAAAATAAAAAATAAATAAAAAAGAGGGAAAAATGTTAAAAATTGCCTCGAAGTATGCAGTTCATCAATTCTTTATATACACTCTAAAATCTACCCCAAGATTGTGAGGACTCTACACTTTGTGCTACTGATCTCAAAAAGAATTGCCTTGACTGAACCATGTTTGAGAGTGATCTTTAAGAGATAAGACTGCCAAGTCCACTGAAAAAAGACTGGAGAAAATGCCATCCCATTACAAAATATTTTCTGGAGAAGGGCTCTGAAGACACATTTATTTCTGATCTTAGAATTCTGCAGCTCTGTCTAAAGTATTAAATAGTTGAATGGTATTTTAAGTTTTTTAAAAAAAATCTTAGGGCTATTATGAATTGTGTTGATCAGATTTGCTTTTCGTTTTGGCTATTTAAAAATGTAAAGTAAGTATATGGCCTACCTGCTGCATGTTTTGGGGTATCGGAAAATATGTTTTCAATTGGTCTCATTCCTACCTCCATTTTATGTATCACTTCAGTTTTGTTACTTTTTTTTTCTTTAATCTTTTCATTGATTAATACATTTTATTTTCTTATTACTTTTTCTTTCTAATCATTGCAGATACTTTTTGGAGTAGGTGGCAATAAACACATTGTTACTATTAGGGAAATAATAAAAAGTCAATTTTTTAGTCTTTTTAAAATCATTTGAACCATTTATACAAGGACGGGCTGTATAAAAGGTGTATCTACTGACAGTTTACTGAAATGAATTCACAATATTTTGGTTTGCTGCTATCATTTACTTAAAATGATAGCACAACCCTACAGAACTATTCTGAGGTGGAGATGATAAGAAAACAATAACTATTCAGTACCATAACATGACAGCATCTGCCATGTATATTATTTCCTAAACTTTATTTGCATGTTTTATGTATCTATAATCATTTGCCCATACTTTTATAACTAACATAATAAAGATTTTTAAAATAATTGCATCATCTTCACACTTATAATTTATATCTCTGCCACAATTTTCATACAATTAAAATATAACATAGCCATTTAAACAGCACTACATAGAAAACACAAATGTGACTGCCCAAAACATTTATATTTCACTTTTTTTTTTTCGAGTCAAAGTCTCTGTCACCCAGGCTGTAGTGCAGTGGCATAATCATGGCTCACTGTAGCCTCAAACTCCTAGGCTCAGATGATCCTTCCTCCTCAGCCTTCTGGAGTAGGTAGGATTCAGCATGCACCACCATGCCCAGCTAATTTTTTTTTAATAACAACACGGTCTCACTATGCTGCCCAGGCTGGTCTCCAACTCCTGGGCTCAAGAAATCCTCTCGCCTCAGCCTCCCAAAGTGCTGGGATTACAGGCATGGACCAGTGCACCTGGCCCTATGGTTTACTTTTAAATAAAAGAGTTTAAAAACTGAGAATGTATGTAAAATAAGAAATGAAAAAAATAAAATAAAATAACGCTAAGAAGACTAAGTCCCAGGATAAACTGACATCTCTGAAATGGTTAAAAATAACAGATAGCAACATTTTCTTTGTTATGTTTAAAAGAAGCATGAATATTACTACCAGTGAGGTTGCAAACTGGCACAAGGTTTTTACAGAGGAATTTAGTATAAAAATAATTTAAAAACTGATCTTCTTTGACCCCAAAATTCTACTCACAGAAGTCTTTCTAAAGGGGGAACAATATGCAAAAATATTTATGTACTAGAATATACTTATTCATTACTCATATTGTTAGAAAGAAAAAGGTAAAATTTCCAAAAACAGTAGTATAAATAAAAATTATAATATGTACATATAGTGGAGTAATCAAGAGTCATTAAAATCACATCTCATTAAATGCCATATAAAATTTGTTCATGGTACATTGCCAGGTGAAGGCAGCTAGTTGTAAATTACATACTGTAAAAATAATACATAAGCTAATAGGTTTATCTATATATACATATAATATATAATGATATGAGGTAATGCATATGTATTTACTTGTTTGTTTATTTATTGCTGCTTAAAGGTAAGA